CATTAAATCAAGTGCAATGATTTTCATTAAATCAAGTGCAATGATTTTCATTAAATCAAGTGCAATGATTTTTATGTCTTTTATTACCTGCCTCCCTTCTTTTCATACGTCGTTCTTTAAAATATATTACACGTTCCACATCACCCTTGCCCCATGTATCAACTAAGAATGACCTTTTACACCATGATCCTATATTATATATACTGACTATATAATAAAGGATATATGAGGATAACGCAAAGAAAACTTTAAAAGTGTCCTTTATAAGCATGCATCAGTTGTATCAAGGTCATTTCACAGTTAAACTGCCATTGAAGGGAAACATCACAAATCTACTTTATAGACAGGCGTCCGTTTTATATACAATGACCTCCAACACACGTTTGACACTATATAAATTGTATATTTTCTCATATGTGTTCACCACACATTGACACACGTTTCAAGGTCACGTCAGTACAAGAAGGAAACCATTTGTGATGTACTGACAAATATATTTTTGTTGTTGGTCACCCTGCTACTGAGTCCGAGCACTCCACAGAAACTAAAGCTGCCAGTAAAATACCGAATTTTACTGACATTAGTTTGTGACAACAGCTGCTATGGATCTCCTTACGTTCCGGGACTTACCTCTGCTTGTATGAGAGCTGCTAGCGAAGGTCGGGTGTACGCTATCCTGGTATCCCATAAATACGGAATGTCTTCCATCAGGCTCTTGTTAATAGAGACAAACTCTTCCTGAACGGGGGCCATCGCCTTCTTCGCCTAGACGAATAAAAGATTACGCTAACGTGGATGAATGGCCGAGTACGCTCACAAAAACGAGATACGGCATCACTTAAAGGGATACTACACGTCACCCTAGAAATTTAGGGTATATTATGATAATAAGTGCTTAAACAACAGTTATATACCTACAAATTTCGATAATTATGCATTCACAAATTGTCATAAAGCAATAGTGAGTTCCAAAATCTTTATTTTTGCCTGCTGCTGTGATTTTTGCCTGCTCAAATTATGAAAAAACTTTGCTTATTGTTTGCAAAATGTTAAATAGTGGTGCAAAGGAAGAGAGCGTTGCATGCTATTGCCTACGAGATGAGATCGGCCATACCTGATCGAGCTTGACGACGTTTGTCCCCGTCTTCTCCCGCTGTTCGTATTTTTCCACTCTTGATTGTTTCTGGCTACATTCCTGAGATAAAAGGACACCATGATACATTCTAGCTCTACCGGTGTCCTTCAAGGAAAGCGTCTGGCTACATTTCTGAGATACAATAACACCATGGTACATTCTAGCTCTACCGGTGTCCCTCTAGTGGAACTTCTGGCTACATTCCGGAGATACAAGGACACCATGATACATTCTAGCTCCATCCGTGTCCCTCTAGGGGAACTTCTGGCTACATTCCTGAGATACAAACTCTAGGGGAACTTCTGGCTACATTCCTGTAATACAATGACACCATGGTAGATTCTAGCTCCATCCGTGTCCCTCTATACTAGTGGAACTTCTGGCTACATTCCTGAGATATAACGACACCATGGTACATTCTAGCTCTACCGGTGTCCTTCAAGGAAAGCTTCTGGCTACATTCCTGACATACAAAGGACACCATGATACATTCTAGCTCTACCGGTGCCCCTCTAGTGGAACTTCTGGCTACATTCCTGAGATATAACGACATGACGGTACATTCTAGCTCTACCGGTGCCCCTCCAAGGATGCTTCGTGTAGCGGAAGCAAACGGACTACACCGGTAGAGCTGAGTACATTCGGAAATGGCTGGCATTATAATTAAACGCATTCAAACATATTTGTTCCACGTCAATATACCATTAGTTCCACCACAGAAACTGAGAGAAAAGAAATGAAAAGATAATTTTTCCCTACAGATCTTATAATGCCATTTAACGAGCACTGAAAAGTCTAGGTTACAAACTTCTCGAAACGCCAGTGTCTATGTAATTACCTCTCAGCGACATAATGCAGACAATTCGAAAGATAAAGATCATGCTGACGCCAATCACGTTAAAATCACACAAACAAAAACTCAACGCAGGTCATGACAAGCAGCGAACAACTTGATGTATCAGTGTTAGTGTTGCTAGGGAAAAGGACATCGAACTTTCAGACAGACAATGCTAAGTGCTGCATCATGTACAGCCTGGGGCGAGACACATGACCTGCGTTGGCAATTGCAACACACATTCTTAGCGTGGTAAGCCATCAATTGATTCGATATTCTTCAGCACGTCTTCATGTCATGTCATATCTGACATCGGCGGCTAATTACCCTGAACTAATGAATGGGAAAAGAGCCTTGAGCAGTTTGCATGCTTACCTGTAGGAGGTGATCCCTTTTCTTTACTAGATTGTTTGCAACGGGGAAGATTGTACCGAACCTGTGAAATTAAACAAAGATAATAGTCGAGAATGTGGGGCTCAGCCTCATATATAATAATAATTATTATTATTACTATTTCGAGTCTCCTCGGGAAGTTGTTATTATTCCTTTCTGTAGCTCATACCAGACAGGGGTCGTCACTCCTCTCTGTCTGCCAACAGCGCTATATAGCTATAGCGAATGGCACTGAATGTCACTGAAGGTCATAGTCATATATATATATATATATACATAGTCTATGAGGGTCAGCCTCATAGTCAGAAACAGAATTAGTCTCAACTTCAGTCTTAACATTAACTTATTCTCATAGAGGGGAAGAGCATGCACTCCATATGAGAAATTAGTAACTTTACGATGTTTGTGTCAATGGTCTATGAGAAAAACTTAATATTAAAATTAATGTTAAGACTAATTTTGTGTCTGATGACAGGCGCCCCTTGGACAACATTAACAATTGTAGATAACAGAACATCACACTATTACATGCATCCGCTTTCACCCATTTTCACAACATTGGGATATATATCTGAGCTTTAATCTGAATTTGTAAGTAGGTTAGAGTCACAACATTATTATCTTACATACTGCTCCCTTATTCACCCATTTAAATGAATTTCAGCATTACCATAAATAATTTTGCAATGCAAATACACTATCTATGTATCTTGGATGAAGGCTACACATGTAAGGTATTATAAGCAAGGTGGTCCTGCATACTAATCATGGGTAATTGATGTAATTGAATTTAGTATTCAGCATGTTTACATTTATGGGTGTCATAGCATAAATTTGTGATGAAACTGTTGATACTTACTTTCGGATAGGCTCCAACATAACCTTTTGTATTTTGGTGTTCTAAAAGAACAAGACATAACCATATTTACATAAAATGTCACGAAACTAGTTTTGCTACTAGTCAACCCTGGTGGTAACATTTATAACAATAAAATATCATTGAAATCTAAGTTTCATATTACCCAAAATATATCAATAGCATACGAAGTCCAGGGTTGAAATAGACAGCAAGGACGTGAATTTTTCAAGTGTCTCTTGTCTATATGACCTTGTAAAATGGGCTACAACAACCGAGAAGCAATATTAAAATTATAACAAGTGCCGCAGAGCGACAGCGCCCAACTGACGTGTACTGTAGCCGGGTATTCTTCTGATAAACTCACTGGCAACCGAATCAAGTGCGCCCTCCCGCCACCGCGTTGATAGGCTTTGCTATACCGGTAGTACAGTAATAAAGATATAGCTCTGTAGCTTTAATGACTTCGCTATATTAACGTTATCATGGATATGCGTCGAGTGCGAGCATAGTGGTGGTGGTGGGAGAGGGTGGGGGTGGAGGGACTCTGAATAGCAAAGCAGTTCAGTCCTTTGTTAACAGTCAACAAAAGTCCATGTTTAACCTTCCTCGTTATCAGACACTTACTATTTGCCTGTCAGCAGAAAGTAGATTTCACAGTCCTTTCAATAAAGTGATAAAAATGGTAGGACAGCGCTGAAACAAAAAAGTTTGGCACTCGGTCCGTTAGACCATGTCCTCATAAAATGTCTGATATCTGACCTTTCCCCCACTGCCCTTTGACCGGTGACCTCCAATTTCGCGCTGGTGATGGGTTTCCTCCCCATCACACTATACATCGAATATTAAGAGCATAGGTCGAGCCGTTGAGATTTGTGCCGCAATTCCGTATTTCCTCCTATACCTTAAGTTAAGGGGGAAATATTCCCCCTCCATTGACACATCTTGACCTTTGACCCTTGCCCCCCAAATTCGACATCCCGAGTCCTTTTCGCGATCCCCCCCGACGGCCCTAATATCAAGATCGCACGTCACGCGGTTAAGATTTGTGCCGTAACTGTTGACGCACGGACGGACGGCCGGACGCGTGATTTTTTCCCTAGGATAATCAAGAACATACGGCTCTAGTGAGCGCTGCCATTGGTTGAGCTTGTTTCGTCGCTCAATGACGTCACAGTGTCGTCATATTCATGGCACATCCATAATCCATAATTCCAATAATCCTGAATAGCCGAACGCGTAGAGCACGGACGTCACGGCTGAAAGGTCGATGGATCGAATCCCATGTTTTATTATTTTCCTGTTTTCTGTATTTATCCATTTAACTATTTTTTTCCAATTAACGCAAATATTTACATAATTTATTTACAACAATTTAATAACAACAAATAATGTTTACAACAATTACAATTTTTTTTTTTTAAATAGGGTTAGGGTTTATAGGGTTAGCGTTAGGATTAGGGTTAGGATTAGGGTTAGGGTTAGGGTTTATAGGGTTAGGGTTAGGGTTAGGGTTAGGGTTAGGATTAGGGTTAGGGGTAGGGTCACAATGCACCATAAAACAGGAGTTTGAGGCATGTGATTTGTTTCAACCAATGGCAGCGCTCACTAGAGCCCTATGTTCTTGATTATCCTAAGAAAAAAAATCACGCCGGCCGGACGGACGGACATTCATGCGATTCTACAAGCTGCATCTGACTTCGTCAGCTGAGCTAAAAACTAATGACGAAAATTACTGAACATGATATGGTACCATTTAGGCATTTACAGAGATTAAACCGTACACTCCATGTAAGAAAAAGTGTAGACTACCAATTCTTAATTACGTCATCATACCAGCTCTTGTGATGAAGTTGTTAACTTGAAGGTGGCCTGTGACAAAGCCTCTACCGACTCTTTAAGAATGGGATCGTGACTGATGGCTGAATTAGAAGAGAGATTCTGACTCATCTTCATATCCGCCTTCGCGACACCTGTGGAGACAGGACCAAGCACGTATATACCACGTATAACACGTATACACCACATACATACCAGCTATAGACCATTCACAGTCGCTTAAATACGTACAAACGAACGACTCTACCAAATTACACGCACAGAACCTTTGGGAAATATATTTAAAAGAAGAAGATGGACATGGCTCAGTCATGTCGCACGGATGGAAGGAGGTGCCATAGCGAAAACCGCACTTAGATGGACGCCAGACGGGAGGAGAAGAAGGGGAAGACCCAAGGAGACCTGGAGAAGGACCATCGAGAAGGAGATGCGGATGTGTGACCTGTCATGGGACACGCTGAGGCCAGTAGTGTTGGGATGAGATATCCTTAAGTAAGTGTAGATTAGTTCATGTAACTACGGCCAGGTGGCGTGCAGGAGAGAAGGGTTGTGTGATTCATCCATAACTTCATATTGATTCTAGTGTGACACCGATTGCGCATAAACAGAGGAAAATCCCGTACAGTCAGCAGAAGGCTGTCGAGAAGAGGTTGAAAAAGCTCGAGGACTTAGATGTGATAGAACGTGTTGAAGGTCCAACATCAAGCGCCAGTGATTGTGCCAAAGCGGAACGGTGAAATCCGGTTATGCATCGACATGCGGATGGCTAACAAGGCCATTATTCGCGAGCGTCATCCTATCCCGATGATAGATGATGTGCTGCATGATATGAACGGTGCAAAAGTGTTCTCCGAGATTGATCTTAGGTGGGGCTACCACTAGATCGAGCTCCACCCAGTCTCGAGACATTACAACGTTCAGTGTCCTCGACGAGCTGTATCGTTATAAACGTTTGATGTTTGGAATAACATCTGCTCCGGAGGTGTATCAACACATCATCCATGACAGGGTTCTCCCTACGGTGCGCAAACGGGGCGCGCGCGCCCCGTTTGGGAAAACTCCCCCCTGTTTGAATCGTTGCGCCCCGTTTGGGAAAACTCCCCCCTGTTTGAATCGTTGCGCCCCGTTTAAATTCCACCACAATAAAAGTTTGCCAGCGCGGGAATCGATCGTCAAGAATTGCCGTTCGACCAGGACATCCGACGCGTGTATTTTTACCGTACCACGCATGCACTGCAGACAGTACACAAGTTAACCTGACAATGCACAGTTAACCTGTCACTAACTGTACACCGTACACCGACTCGGCTATCTTATATATACAAGCACCCCAAATACCGTCTATGGTGTGGTGGCGATTTTACGCATTAATTAGTCGTACGGTAGGTGGCGATTTTACGCATTAATTAGTCGTACGGTAG